ACGTGTTTGCCAAACCAAACTTTGTATACATAACACCGACCTACTTCTACACAATTTAAATCTTTGTGTCCGCAAGTAGAGCACCGAAGAAAATATAATACGCAGACTGATTTGATTTGATTACCAAAGGAGTACTTTGGAATAGCTTTTAGAGAATAGAGGTTTGTCTTTCAGTGAACACACAGCCTTGTTATTTGTGCTACTGAAAGGTAATTTTTCCTTCTGGTCTTAGCGTAAAAATTATAAGTGCTTTTAATTTAATTCCTAAGCAATATTTGTTTGACTGTGTAGTTTGTTGTTCCATAAAATTTTGTTTGAATACCTACCTTCCAAGGAATTTGTACGGAATCCATATTCTTGGAGTATTTTCGGAATATTTTTTAGCTCGTTATGGTCATCCAGATCAGCATCGCTTTCTCCAGGATCCAAACAAATTGGACCACTGTTTTCTATTTCTGATTTTGATAAAGCCAATGCAAGAACTATTTCATCTGTACTAAAGCTATCTACTCTACAATGTTGTGAAGCAATTTCTGTGAATACATGTTCACTCCGCAGAAGAGAAGTCTTAATATCCTTTTGATTGGCACCTCGTAACATCGAGAACTTTGCCGACTTTTTTGAATATGGCAGTTTGTTTGGTTTCTTAACCTTCTTTTGTGGTATTTCAAAGGCGTCTTTATTATTCAATTTGAAAATCTCTCCACCTTTTTCCACATTTTTGCTCTCTTTAAGAACAAAGTCAGTTAGATTAATACGCTTCCTGCTTTTCGGGTTAATGACCTCTTCAGAATTGGATACCTTACTACAAGATGTTTCATCCGCAGTACTTAATTTATTGACGCAATCATTGGTCATCTCTTTATAAGATATTGTGTGTTTTAACTCATTTGAAATCGGAGTGTTAAAATATTTTGATATGGTCGGATGCACCGATCGAGTTTTCCTTAAAAATAAAATGTATGTTTATGAGGCTACTATTAAATAAAATATTTATTTACAACTGCACTTTATGGACAAAATCACATGTTTAGTAGACATGCATGTGTATATTACCGTAAATTTTGTTCACCGCTTTTTCCAATATGCCTTATACCGGATAAACGGAGCTTTTTTAAATTCGCTTTACGTGTTTCGCGATCCATTAAAATTAAATTTTATTATTTATCTTGTTGACATCAATTCCTTTTCCTCATCAATCCGTTTTTGTATCTCTCTTCTTGGAAGAGGCTTTGGCAAATTAAACAAGTATTTCCTATCAATCTCCTCTTCAGTAGGATGTAGTACTTTGTCGCATATACGCTTGTTAGTTTCACGGATTGTCGGCATGCAACTAGATATAATCAATGCATAAAATTTCCTTTTTGGTTGTTGTTTCCGACAGGGTGGGTTTACGATGTATTTTGGACCGAGGTTCGATCGAAAAATTACACTGAAAATGGCACAACGCCGAAACCGGTTTGTCTCCAAACCAAATTTGACAAGGGATGACGGAAATTTGTTCCAAAATACATCAATGTAAAAGCCCATAAATAATGCATACATATACACCCCTATGCTGTAATCCGAAAGTTCGTAGGTACGAATTCGTAGCTCCGTTCCGAAAATTCGAAAATTGGTATGCTGTAATCCGATCGTAACTATCAACGGCGTTGCCAACTAAAATAGTGAAATTCGAATTTCTTAATCAGCTGCTTTGACAGAAACAAATCAAAATAAATATAATCGCAAGTGAACAGTGAAAGTAAAAAAAAAATGTTTAATCGTATTTGAAAAAGCTTTTCCTTAATTAAGTAAAATAGAATGGATTCATTGGCCGGTGCACTTTTGTCTCAGGAGGAAGAACATGCTGCAGTCAACTGTTGCATTAATATACAAAGGAGATTGCTACTAGACAGTTCTGATCCATTTAGCTTAAATGATAAATATATGCTGCCTCTTTTTAAGGGCGTCCATTCAACTAAAGATTGTGCTGCTTTAAATCTTGCAACGCTTTCCCAAAATTCCACCACATCCTCTTTAACTACTTTTACAAAGCCTCGGGCAATGTCCGGCCTTTCGCTCATGCATTCCACCAGTTTTTCGTATTGCGAGCGATTTGTTGTGATTGTCGACTTGATAATTTTGTAAACATTTAATAATACATTTTTTTTTTATTCACACTTCAACTTACATACATATTTTTGCGTTTCCACACTTTATTTTATTGATATTTCGCTTCGCTCCGACACCAGTTGCTCTTCGTAGAAAATTTCCGACAAATACATACAAATTACAGCTACGTCGGATTCAGGCATACCAACATTACGAATTTCGAAGATGGTCTCCGAATTTCGAAATTACGATAAGGCAACGCGGATTACAGCAATCCAATTTTAAGATTCGTAGCAAAATCGAATCTACGACGGATTACAGCATAGGGGTGATAGACATATATACAAAAAGGTGACCGACTTACGCCCAGGCGCCAAATAAGACAGATCCCAAAGCAATCCACGCGAAAGCAAATTTATTTCTATATTGATAGGCAGGTGTACCGCGTGTGCGCCGAGGCTTCCTTTGACTTCCGTCTATATTTTCCATAACCGTTCTTATTCTGGCTAAATTGTTGCTTGTACGTTGCTGGCAGAAATATTTGGACAAAGCAAGTTTAGAGTAAAGTTTCTCAAATCCTAATTTGAAACGCAAAAAAATTTCCGGTAGCAGTGCACTTTAACGGAACCAGGTCAAAATGGACGGAAAAAGTAGAGTGGTATCAAACGACGCGTCTTGACACCAATAATAATAATCAGAGATCGGAAATAAACATTTTTAATTCATTAAAGAGTTATTCGGGGTGGGCTTTAGTAGTCAGCCGCACCTTGTGTTTTAAGAAAACCAGGTGGAATTAACAAATGAAACTTGGTCAGGATGTGGGTGGGGTTTAGTACCGCTCACAACTATTTCGGGCTATTCCGTCCAAATGGGTGGCCCGATCCAAAAAAAAATTTCACACACTTGTAGTCAAGGGTCGACGCAATATTTTAACACTCACTTTTGTAAATTTTGGTTACTAATTTATTTACAAATTGGGTTTGAAATATGCCCTTTTTTGTAAAATTCGGAAATTAGCGTACATTTATCACTCCTATTCTGCTTAAATTAGCCACTTTACCAATATATTTTTGTATTCCCCTTCACTTTACACTTTACTTGATTTGTTATAACTTGCTTTACGACTTTAATATTAACCAATTCATCACAATTCATTAAATAAAAACACCTTCAAAATCACGCGTCTGACTTTGGTTGCATATGCAAATTAAATGGCGGAGTTCAGCTGTCAAACTCCAAAATATGCAAAAGAATGAGAGACAAAAGAAGATAGGATATAACCCAGTAAGCATTAAAAATATACAAAGGTGTTCTCTGCAAAAGGTGTTCAGCTCCTTTTCTTCGCAAAACAGAAAGGAGAATTCTACTGCCTGAGGGTTATAATCCCTAAGTGCG